AAGAAGAATGATACTTCTTTAAAAGAAAAAAAAAATAACAATAATGACTCAAAATAATAATAAATTAAGAATGAACAAAAAATAATAAAAAAAAAATGAAGAAAAAAAAATCAACCACTTTTAAACATTTATTAGAAACATCAATTAGAAAGAGAAAATAAAAATAAAACAAATCAACTACTTCTAAACATTCGATTAGAAAGAAAAAAAAAATAAAACAAAAGTAAAATAACATAATAATGCTTATAAAAAGAAAAAGTAAACAAAAAATTTAGATTATTATTATTATACTATTATTAAATGTGCAAAGAGTTTCAGTGTTTCAGTATTTCAGTATTTATTTATTAATATAAAAAAATATTTATTAATTGATAAAAAAAGTTTCTAATAGACAAGAATATATTTAAAGAAAATAAAATAATTTCTATAAAACTCTACCACAAATTACCTATTTTATTTTCTATAAACTTTATCACATATAACCTATATATATATATATATATATATATATATATTAGATCAGACTTGTGGTATGTATATATATTTTTTTTCTCTTTATAAGCGCAAAAAAGAAAACAATATTAACAAACATATTTCTTTTCAAAATTTGTTTATATATAAATAATAAATTATAAATAAAAATAGTTATCAAACTGGACTGTAAATTATTATATTTACATTTAAATATTAATGTGAAGTGACTAATGCAATTTTAGTAAAATAATTAACTGTTAAAAAAATAGTAAAATAATTGTATATATATATATATATGCCAAGCAAGAGCCGCTGATAGAGACGGACCCAGCCACCCTGGCCTTGGGGTACACATGTTTCCCTACAATTATCATCTAGAAATCTCTCCTATTCTTTCTTTATTTATATTTTCTTATTTTTACTCTTTATTTAATATATTAGTAAAAGACACGTGCAATGCACGTGTTGAATATTTTGTAACTTATCGATATAAATTTTCTTTCATTAGAAAACTCATAATAATAAATAGATAAGTAGGTAATTTGTTATAGAGTTTCATAGAAATTATTTTATTTTCTTTAAACGTATTATTGTCTAATTAGATTTTTTTTATTAAAAAACTAATAATAAAAGGTAATTTGTGTAGTATAGTTTTAGAGAAATTATTTTATTTTTTCTATCAATTAATAAATATTTTTTATATTAATAATTTTGTTCTAATTAGATTTTCTTTTATTAAAAAACTCATAATAATAAATAGATAAATAGGTAATTTATGTTAGAGTTTTATAGAAACTCTTTAAATATATCCTTATCTAATGTGATAGAGTTTTATTGAAAATAAAATGGGTAATTTATGATAGAGTTTTATAGAAATTATTTTATTTTCTTTAAATATATGCTTATCTAATTAGATTTCCTTTTATTTAAAAACTCATAATAAAAGGTAATTTGTGGTAGAGTTGTAAAGAAATTATTTTATTTTTTATATCAATTATTAAATATTTTTTATATTAATAAATCCTGTCTAATTAGATTTTCTTTTATTAAAAAACTCATAATAAATAATAGATAAATAGGTAATTTGTGATAGAGTTTTATAGAAACTGTTTAAGTATATCCTTATCTAATTATATTTCCTTTTATTAAAAAACTAATTTGTGGTAGAGTTTTAGAGAAATTATTTTATTTTTATATCAATTAATAAAGATTTTTTATATTAATATATAAATAATGAAATACTTATTTTATTATTTGATAAATTATTTTATTACTTTATCTGTAAATGATTTGAAACATCTTGATTTAATTTTAATTAAACAAGTACCTGATTTATTTTATTTCGAAACATCTTGATTGAATTTCAATTAATTAATTATCTAATTAATTTTAATTGTTAATTTATTTAATGATTTTAAATATATCAATTGAATATCAATTATACAATTACATATTAAATTTTAATTGATATTTTATTTTATTAAATAATTACCTATTTTATTTTAATAGGTAACTTGTTTATTTTAATTCATAACTTATATGATTTATTTTAATTGGTAACTTATTTTATTATTTGGTGAATTTTTTTATTATTTTATCTATAAATGATTTCAAACACCTTGTTTTATTTTAATTAAAGAATTACCTATTTAATTTTAATTGTTAATTTATTTAATGATTTGAAATATCTTGATTGAATTTTAATTATACAATTACTTGATTTGTTTTAAATGGTAACTTATTTTATTATTTGGTAAATTATTTGATTGAATTTCAATTAAACAATTACCTATTTAATTTTAATTGGTAATTTATTTAATGAATTGAAATTTTTTGATTTAATTTCAATTAAATAATTACCTAATTTATTTTATTTGTTAAATTATTTTATTATTTTATTTATAAATGATTCGAAACATTTTAATTGAATTTCAATTAAATAATTACCTATTTAATTTTAATTCGTAATTTATTTATTTAATGATTTGAAACATCTTGATTGAATTTCAATTAAATAATTACCTATTTAATTTTAATTGATAATTTATTTTATTTATTTGGTATCTTATGTTATTGAATAATTACGTATTTTATTTTAGTAGATAACTTGTTTATTTTAATTGGTAACTTATATGATTTATTTTAATTGGTAACTTATTTTATTATTTGAAAAATTATTTTATTTATAAATGATTTGAAACATGTTGATTGAATTTCAATAAATGATTTGAAACATGTTGACTGAATTTCAATTAAATAATTACCTATTTTGATTGAATTTCAATGAAACAATTACCTATTTAATTTTAATTGATAAAACATCTTGATTGAATTTCAATGAAAGAATTACCTTATATTTTTTTATATTTTGTGTTACATTTTATAGAAACTCTTTTAATAATAATATATTTTTTGAATTAGGTATTTTTTTGAGTTTTATAGAAACTATTTTTATATTAATTAATAAATATTCTTTTATATTTTTTTGTTAGAGTTTTGTAGAAATTCTTATAATAATAGTAAAGATTTTTTTAGAAACATATAAATAAATATGTAATTTGAATTTTATTAGGTAATTTTAAGAGTTTTAAAGAAACTCTTTTTATATCAATTAATAAATATTTTATATTTTTACATTTTGTGATAGAGTTTTATAGAAATTTTTTTAATAATAGTATAGATTTTTTTAGAATCAAATAGATAAATAGGTAATTTGAATTTTATTAGGTAAGTTTTAGAGTTTTAGAAAAATGATGTGATTAGAGTAAGGCAAAAAAAAGGCGGCTTTGAGTAATTGTTTAATTAAAAATAGTTACATACTTATTTTTACTTTTTACCAACATGCTTGTGACCTAGTGGTACAAGACTCTTACTTTTCAAAGGAAAGTCAGGGGTTCGAACCTCAGTGAAAGCAGTGTGTGTGAGTCCCAACTAAGAAAAAAAAAAAAAAAAAAGAGTATTTTTTTCCAACACAACATAAATAATGGAAGGATTTTTCTTTTATAATGTTTGCCTTGTCTGCATCAACTCATATATAATGAGGCATTATAATTTCCCAGCATGTCTATGAGACTATGATTCATATAAAATAAACTTTAAACATCATTATTTTATAATTTGCCAAAGAGATTTATGAATCTATGTTATTTGTTAACGATATTGGCCCCCCCTCCCTCTCTCCAGGCTTATGTGACCAATATTAAATAAAGTTTTTAGATTTTTGCTATGCATAGTGGCAACTGGCAACTCCAGTTTTATTGAGAATGATATGTTAGTGGCGTGATAGGCGGATAACTGGTAATCTGTGTGTCTTTAATCAAATTATAAATGTTAAGATTTAATTAAAAGCAGAAGGAATAAAATGGATCTTTAGTCACATTCTATATGCAAATTGTTGACATGTAATTAAATATGTATGTGTTTATATATTACATCTAGGAAATTAATTCTACTTTGAATACGCTGAGATGCCTAGTGATGACTTGGAGGGATCATTTTTTGTCTGCGATGACATCATGTGCCATGTCTTTGCATTTCTAATTTGTGTATTGTTTGATAAAATTAAAAATTAATTTTAAAATTATACTAAATAGTAAAAATTAAATCAAACATGATTAATGCAATTCAAAGAATAATATACCTGTAATTTTGAACCATGTTGTGGATTGTGAATTATTATGTGAAAAAAATATGAAAAAAAATAATAAAACAATGCATGATGAAAACATGGCTAATGAGTTACTCTACGGGGTAGCTTATATATAGAGACAATATAGATTTAATTAATAAATATTTTTTTTTATATTTTGTGTTAGAGTTTTATAGTATAGATTAGATTAGATTTATTATTTAATTTGTAATTTGAAATTTATTAGGTAATTTAAAAGTGGTGATTGAGTTTGAGTTGAATTTTATTAGCTAAAGTGATGATTTTAATTTTATTAGATAATTTGTAATTTGAATTTTATTACGTAATTTGAGAGTGGTGATTGAGTTTTATTAGGTAATTTGTAATTTGAATTAAATTATTTTTATATTAATTAATAAATATTTTTTTTATTAAAATAAATAGATAAATAGATAATTTGAAAGTGGTGATTGATTTTATTAGGTAATTTTTACATTTTTATAGAGTATATATATATATAAGTATAGTATAGATATAGATATATAATCCTAGAATATTAGAGAATTTATAAGAATATTATAGAATTTATAAGAAATGATAGACTAGATATTTAGATAAATAATTCTAAAAAGTATATCGTAACGCATCCATTGAGAAGGAGAGGTATATATATACAAGAAGAGACTCCTAAAACACACACTAGACATTCTTTTCGTGCCTCAAACGAGCTCTCTAAAAGGCACTTCAACGCAGGGCCGGCCCTGGCCCAAGGCGACCAGCGGTCTCCTTGGGCCTCAAATTTTAGAGGGCCTTATGAGGCCCATAGAGGATGGAAAAAATTGGTCGCCTTGGGCCTCAAATTTTGAGGCCTATAGGGAATGGAAAAAATAAAGTTAGGGCAAGTTTCAGACGACACAATGTCACAATCTGCTTCGACACTCCGCAGGGCGCAGCCTCCGCTATCGCCTCAGGTGACAAGGTATGTTCATCCTCTTTCTCTCTTCTCTCTCCTTTTGCATGAATCGATCTTTTATATATGTTTCTCTTTCTTTCATCTCATCATTTGATTTGTTCTAACTTTGGTTCGTTTGATTCGGGCCTTCACCTTTGTTCCAATAGTGAAAAGTAGCTTCCAAACTAGGGTTTTTGTGTGTGTGTGTGTGTGTCTCACTGTGTGTGATGGCTATCAAAAGCTTAATGAATATATTATGGTTCTCTTAGTAGTTTAATAAATGTGTGCCTTTCTCCATGTGTCTTTCATGGCGATCGAGTCCATAATCTATGGCGGTACTTTTTTTTTTCCCCTCTCCCTAAGTCCACTCCAATCTCACAAAAGCAGCAACCATACCCCTTTTCCTCATAATTTTTTGCATTTTCACATTCAATCCCGCGAAAATTAAGGATCCCATCTAGTGGGTTGAGGTAATAATTATGCTCATACTTAAAAGTGCCAAATTAAGGGTTTTTTATTTTTATTTTATTTTTATATGAAGATACATACCACCATTATTGATGTTATTTGAAGTTGGCTCAGCTATAATTTCAGTTAATAATACTGTCAAAGCACTTGCCATCAGAATGTACAAACACATGGAAATCAAGAGCAGGCTTTAACAAAACAAAAGTTAATGGTTTTTTCTATTAATTTGCACAGGTCTTCTGTAGCAATGATCAATCAATCACTGCTACTAAAGTTGATTCCTCATCCTGAAATCAAGAAAGGGGTAATTGGATCCCAAAAAACACACACACAAAGTGTAGTTAATATAAAGAGTGAAAGACAAAACTATATATGATAGTGGATGCCACATATAACCTAAAAGTCCCACTTCTTCAGCACTACAAGTTCAGCCTCCTATATATATATATACACCTCATCTCCACATATTTTTGTCATCTGTAATCATCAAATTTTAGCAGCTATATAAACAATGAATGTAAAAAAGAAGCTGCAGTTTTCTGTTCCTCATTTCCACTTTTGGACTGTATTTTGGATACTCTGTTTTGTCTTCTCTCCTCTCCTCTCCTCCAGATTCCAGTGAAAACTCCAGCCAGGAGATCATTCGACCAAAGTGCTTGATTTTAGATTTTTTTAATTATATTTATTGTATGATCGGCAATGCTTAGTTATTATTGTTTCTGTTTGATTCTCCATCCGTTTTATGTTAATTGTGATCTTCTTTCACATGCTAGCAGGACACTCTTCTTAGGATCTCGTGAGGTTATTTGCCTTGGACTTGAATCAAATCATTGCATATTGAGGTAATATATATTTTCTTTAAACAAAGCAAATTATTATTATTATTTTTTTGAAGTCTAGTTTTATGCTGATTATGGTTCTTGTTATTTAGATTTCAATAGATATCATTATGTATACAAGAAAATTTGAATCTGGGCATGAAAAAAGGGGGGGAAAAAAAAAAAAAAGAAGAAGAGAGAAGAAGAATTGATTCAATCCCAAAAAGGAGATATTCTTAAGTTTTTTAGGAGCAATACAGAAATAGAGAGTTTAGTTGAAGATTTGGTGAATGAAGAACATATGAATGCGAAAGCAAATGAAGAAAGTCTCAATAAACATGAAGATTTAATGAATGAAGATGATAGGAAGTTAGTTAATGAACATGAAGATTTAATGAATGAAGATTATAGTTATTAGTTAGTTGTCTTATGCACTATGCACATGCGTACAATTATATTAGCTATAGAATTTGAAAACATCGTGTGAGAATTCTGCACTCCTATAATTTTTTTTTGCGTGTGTGAAACTCAAGGGTCTCACATTTGAAAGTTCGCTCAAAATATTTGGAATCTCAGGGCCGGCCCTACTTCAACGGCGGCGATTCATGACACTTGCTCACTGTCAGCAAAGCTTCAATAAATAATTCATCCACCATGAGGGCCAACGGAACTGAATCCACCAACGGTTCTTCAAATCCCTATGAATCACAAAATCCTCCGATTCAGCCTCTCCGATTGCCCACTGTTGAGGAAATTCGGGGACAAGACATTTGGAACAACTGTGCTGTTCGTAGCGTCGTGAGCGGTGCAATGGGTATGTGCAAAAACAAAGTTTTACAGTTTTTTAATTCTAGGGTTGCAATTGATCTTGTTTCGAAGTTAAGTTGCTTAGTTGTTGTTGTAAAAAACTCAGATTAAATAAGCAGTGAAAATATCAAAAACTAAACCAATTGGTTGGATTAGGCCTAGTTTGTTTGCGAATCCCAATTTGTGGATTCTAAGTCTTCAATTTTCTTACATTTTATAAGCGGAGCTGTAATATTGCACACGTGATTTTATTATTGAACAATTGATTTTGGAGTACAGCAATTCATGGGTTTGCTATTGTTGTGGGCATGTTTTTTCAGGAGGTGGGCTTGGATTGTTCATGGGTCTCTTCCTAGGGGCACTAGACAATCCATTAATGCAAGCGGAAATGACTGGCAGACAGCAGTTTATTTATACTGCAAAGCAGATGGGTAGTAGGAGCTGGAGTTCTTGCAAGACGTTTGCCGTTATGGGCTTCATTTTCTCAGCTACTGAATGTGTTGTTGAGAAGGTATAACAAATGATCTAAATGATAATTTATATTATCTCACATTTTTTTCATTCTTTCTTTGATTGCAAAGAAATTATGCAAAAATAAAACTTCAATTTTTACAAGTACTATAGTAGTATTTATTTATTTGTTACTGACACTTTGCTTAAAGGCCCGGGCAAAACATGACATCACAAATACACTTGTGGCTGGATGTGTAACTGGAGGTGCCTTATCGGCAAGGGGTAATCTCTTAACTATGTATATTGATTTATTTTCTTTCTAGTAAGTGCATCTAAGCCTTCCATAAATTTTGGTTTTGGTAACATTTGATATATATATATATATATATTTGCACAAGGATGACCTTCCATAAATTTTGGTTTTGGTAACATTTGATATATATATATATATATATATTTGCACATGGATGATTTAATATGTATAATAAATTTTGCATTGAATTTAAAGTTGTTTTCAACGATAAAGGCTTATAAAATTTTCTCTCTACTTATGACCTCAATAATCTCTTTAATGACAACAATAATCTCTCCAAATAACATCAAATAGAAAATGAAAATGATTTAAGATGTAATCTAAATGAAGTGAGAAACGACTTTAGATTTGTGACTTTAGATTTGTGGGAGAAATGACTTTAGATTTGTGGATTAAATGAAGTGTCTCAAACTCTTGATTCAAGTTCTGACCTTAGGTTTCACGTATTATAAGTTTTGGAGTCTCTATCTACTTATATTTCAAAGAGAATAGGAACTAATTTTGTTGGAAAAATCATTGCCCTTCTCATTATATCAGGTCCCCTTGTGGTCATGTTATTCGGACCAAAGGTAATATTCAACTTCTTTGCCATACTATTTATCACATTAAAACTTTTGGTATGAAGAGTTGGATTCTCCTCACTTTTGTTGTTGTCATCCTTATCCCTAGCCTAGTGCTGAAGTTAGCTAAACAAATCTGCAAATTAGGTTACTGATTAGGAGTTGTTACAAAGGGCTGAAATTGTTTTCTACTGCTTTGCTGCTCTGCTAGAAGTCCATATGTTTTCTACTGCTCTACTAGAAATCCATATGTTTTCTACTGCTCTACTAGAAGTCCGTATGTTTTCTACCATTTCAAAGTCCATATGTTTTCTACCATTTCATGTATAAGTTTTAGAATTTTGGTCATTGCTCATGTTACATTGTGCCACGATTGCGGCCTCTCTGTTTTTTCTGCCAATAATATTATTCTTAAATCAATCTACTTTGTTTTTTAGGTGGTCCTAAAGCAGCATGCTTTGGCTGTGCTGGTTTTGCTGCATTTTCAGTTCTGATAGAGAAGTTTTTAGAGAGACACGATTGAGCAAACATATACCTGATTCAGTATATGCGCCTAGTGGCTAATTTGGGAAGTTTTTTGTTTTTATTATTTTATATGTGATGTATACAACATTGAAATCACCATCCAGTTAAAAAGGAAGCTTGCTTTGTCCCATGGATTAATCCGGGCTTTCCCGGACACCCCAAGGAAAGCTTACTTGAGCGATTCAAAGTAAACTATGGTTGTGGAATCTTAACCTACCTACTCTAAGAAGATACATCAAATTCGATTTGTTTGGCTTATTGATAAAAAAATTATTTCTTTTAAATAGTTTTCAATATTATTTTATTTTTGAGACAAAATAGGGACTGTTATTACCCAGGAATCCTCTCAACCTGAGCTGAATTCGAGTATAAGGAGATAGTGCTGCCGGATTATGAAAACGATTACATGTTTTTGTAATTCGAACACTACTAGGCTACTGGATAATGTCCTAGTTGGATTTTTTGAATTTGTGTTTTGATTGAATATCAATCACTCTCCCAAGTTGGAGAAAGGATGAAGGAATATTCTTACCCTTTATTGGATGAATGTGTAACGTGTATTTAGATGAACAGTTTCTTGGGCAATCTTCACTATAGATCTGAGTGAAAAAGATGCTACCAAAGTCTAATCAATACCTATTTTTATTATTGAAAAATGATATTTTAGGTGAGTTTGGTTCTTATTGGAACCGAAAGTTACATGACCAAAAAAGAAAAAAATGACATCAAGTGGATCCACTGTTAGTTAATTTCTGAGCCCATTCTAGACTAAAAAGAACTAGTGCATTTATTTATTAATGATTTTTTGTCTAAGCTGAAAATATAGTTCAATGGGGGACAAAATCCGAGAAGTAAATATTCAATTACCATTGACAGAAGCTATTTAAAAAATTCTGAAAAACCAAATCAGAAAAGGAGAAATATGCCAAAATTCTAAAAAAACCAAATCAGAAAAGGAGAAATATGCCAAACTTCACCAACTTTTAATAATGTTCATTTCAAAAATTTTAATTAAAATTATCAGAATAGACATCTAATATAAAATATAAATAATACATAAATATAAAAAAAAATATATGATTAAAAATAACTTTAAAAATAAAAGATATATTAGACCGGAGGTATTGTCATAATTAACATGTTCTTTCTTGTCTAAATATATAGAGAAAATGGCAAAATCCGCATTCTCGCCGTCGCTAAGAACAGCCAGCTGAGACTGGAGAGGTGGTGGAGACTAGAGTGAGAAACTGAGGGGAGGGAGAGAGAGAGAGGAGGAAATGTCGGGTAAAGAAACTGTGTTTTATGTATTCTTGCCGCTCACGCCACCGTCAAAGATCTCAGTTACACTCTCTCTTTACCCTTTCTCCTTTCTACATATCAATTCAATTGTATTTCCTAATTCCATTTTCCTCTCTCTTTTTTTTTTCCCCTTCTCTTAGAGGATGAAAAAGAAGCTAAGCATCTCGAAGCCCTAGAAGGCGCACAATCGCGTCTCCATCTCTTCCAGATCGATCTCCTCCACTACGACTCCATTGTCGCCGCCGTCACTGGCGCCAACGGCGTCTTCCACCTCGCATCTCCCTGTATTGTCGATCAAGTTCATGATCCTGAGGTTCGTGCCCAATTCAATGTACACACGTCTGTTTATATATATATATATATATTCAGTTTTTTGCTATGACTGGCAGAAGGAGCTATTGGACCTGGCGATTAAAGGGACCAACAATGGCAAAGAGCTGGGGTCCGGCGAGTGGTGGTGACCTCATCCATATCTGCGATCACTCCGAGCTGGTACTGGCCAGCCGATGTAGTCAAGGATGAAAATTGCTGGACGGATATTGATTACTGCAGGACAAAAGGAGTGAGTCTTTTGCGTTTTCTTACATGTTCTCCCTTTTTTTATTTTTATTTTTTTAATTTTTATTTTTTGGTTCTCCCAAATTCGTTTGAGTATTTGCTTATTTGGTATTAATGACTTCGATCTTCGCCAGAGGGAGGATTATTCATAACCCATAACCAACTGCATTATGAGAAGTAATTAAATGATCATACTTCAATCACAAGTTATTGTACTTAACACTAACATTTATTTGGTTTGCCATCAAAATCATTCACAGTGCTCCTCATGGCAATCGCCCAAATACAGAGAAGCAATAATTTTCAATAGTTACTGATAAAATTTTGTAATAGATTACCATAACATCTATAATTTTCCTTTGAAGTTATGTATCATTGTATGGAGAAATTATTCCATGGTCCAGGACTACATGGTCCTGGCCAATCACAACTTGGCACTTAAGCAAAAATCTGATTAAAAATTGACACATTTGCTTGCGTGTCGAGTTGTGATTAGTCGGGATCATGTAGTCTCGAACCATGTAAAATTTCTCATCATGTATGCTCAAAATACCTTTTGGGAAATAGCTTTGTTGAGTTGAGTTGATGCTAACTTATACCCTTTGTGTAAAGTAAGCAAAATGTACTAAGAAAGTAAAAACAACATATCTTGCTCTTTCTACAGCTGTGTGGTTTAGTTGAGAATGAAGCAATTGAGTGTTCGCCTCTAGAGTGCCTAAAGCAGTCAAAACTTTCTCCTCAAAAGCGGGACTCCTAGAATTTCCTTGAGAATATGATTGATTTGGAAAATGAGAATTAGAGAATTGGTTTCCTTGTGATTGATATGATCTAAATCCTTGGGATCCTTGGCCTTGCATTGGAGGTGGAATATAATTCCCTTGAAAACCACCTTGGGGAGGGTTTGAGCCTTCCCCTTGGCTTTTCCAAGAGAAGTTCGTGTGATTCCTCCAACTAGAATTATAGTGATTGCCATAAGGATTGTTCCCTTGATTAACAAATGCTGCATTGACTTGTTTATGATGCTCACTTTGCACATGTCCATGGGGACAATTGGAAGTAGAATGTAAAACACTAGAACAAGTCATACATGTCTCATTGGATGAAAGATGAGAATGGTTAGGGAAGGAAGACACTTGATTTGCCGAATTTTGGTTGATCAAGAATTGGTCAAACCTTTGAGATAAGGATTTCATCTCAGCGGCTATTTCATTGGAGTGGTCGACTTGATGTAAGCCAACACTCTTCCTTCCACTTGAATTTCTACCATTCTTGGAAGATAAAGATCGATGCAAAGAATTCTCACTCATACTTTCACAAAGACGCCACACATCATCCTCATGCCTATCAATATAAGAGCCACCCATGGAAGCATCAACCATGCCTTTATAGTTGTCAGATAAACTCTTAAAGAAGTATTGAACCAATTGCCACTTAGGCATGTCATGATGTGGACATTTCCTAAGCAATTCATTGAATCTTTCCTATGCCTCATGAAACATTTCCCCATCCCCGTGTGAAAACTCTCTAATTGAAGTTCTCATGGCATTGGTCTTAGAAACTGGATAATACTTTTTTAAGAACTCTTGTTGCATTTCCGCCCAAGAAGTTATTGAAAAAGGCCTAAGATTGTTGAACCAATATTTTGACTTGTCTTTGAGGGCGAATGGAAAAAGTATAAGCCTTAAGACCTTTTCCGGCATGTCCGTGTATTTCACGGTGGAACATACTTCAAAAAATTCATCCAAATGCTTGTAAGGTTCTTCACTTGGAAGTCCATGATAATTAGGAAGCATTTGAATGGTTTGTGGTTTGATCTTATAGTGATGTGCTCTAAATGGTGGCAATTGAATGCATATGGGTGCATTATATTCATTAGGCACATAGTGATCTCTCTCTTAAAGTAAGGGGAGGATTAACAATTGGTGGTGCAACATGGGCACCTTGATTTCCTTGAATTATGGGAGGTTGTGGAGCAAACATTGGCCTAGGCATTCCCAATGGAACTTGGCCTTGTTGTTGTGGTGGTAGGTGAATGAGTGGCCTTAGCATGCCTAATGGAACTTGCATATTGTCATGATGCACATTGGGGTGAATGATACTTTGTTGGTCTATGTGACCAAGGTCCTCCACATGGTTTTCATGATGGTCTTCTATTGATGAAATGGATTGAATAGAACTTCCTCTTCCCTTAGGATTACGAACAACGGATTCAAGATTAAAATCAAATGGGACAAGAGTAGGTTTCAATGATCTACAACCATGCATGCACAAGCAAAACACAAACAAGCAACAAACAATGAACAATCACTTCACCTTCGCAACAAATCAATTATCAACAAACTTCCTCCACATATGATGATCCCATACTCCCATGTTTTCAACAATATGCAAAGAAAAATAAAATGCCTCCACGCGGGCCGACGATTTAACTAGAGATTGAGTTTATGAAGAGCTCACAAAGGGTCTTTAGGCACTTCAAATTATTTTTCAACTTTTAGCTTTGCAATTTTTTTTTTTTTTTTTGCTTAGCTTCTTTGCTTGGAATGCTCCTTTGCTCACTTCCCTAGCCCAATGTACCTAGTCAAACAAGAACCAACACAATAAGTAACCAAAATGAAAATGAAAATAATGTAAAGACACGATCAAAAGAGTACTAATTCCTAATTGTTTCCACAAATACGACGTTGCCTTCAATCAATTCCCGGCAACGGTGCCAAAAACTATGGTCGTCGTCTACCACATAGCTTGCAAAGTGTGCTAAGGTGAGAGTGGCTAAGTTTTAAATTTATGAAGTGCCACTACTACCTCTTACTACTACTAATGTAGCAAGGGCAAGTAGGGATCGTCCCAAGGGATTGTTGGGTCGTATTGATTGTGGAATCAAGATTAGGGTTAGTAGGTCGAGTGATCAAAGATTGGTTGGTGATTGAATTATACTAAGGTGCAATGTAAATTAAAACAAACAATTAAATGCAATATAGAGAAAATAAGAGAGAGATATCTTGGGATTTAGAGGTCACCACTAAGCATAGTTTTTCTACACACTTAATGAACAATTAATGAGGGGGAAACATGTGTTACAATATTTGTGTGTGTGTGTTTAGTTGTTTCAATTAGCATGGATGACCAATTAAGTATATATTGTCTAAGCAACATAGTGAAAAGCACAATATATCAAACTAAGCCATTATTCCTTCCATTAAACTCACAATCCAAACACATCACAAGGTTAGAGACATGTGCTACTTGCATTCAAAAGCATAGAACATCAAACAACAAGCATGGATTGTCCTCCTATCTAAGAAACTAAGGCAACTACATTACAACTACACTACAACTAAGCTAATAACATGAATTTAAACTAATTAAACTAAGGGATAGGTACAATCCATCAAGAAATGAGTATGAACCATCAAATAAATCACAAGAGCATTCCATTAAGCACTATGCCTTGACAATCTCTAGATTCATAGCATCAATACACATAGACATGCATCAACAACACAAAACCTAGAGATAAACACATGAACATCTATTCTAGCATACATAGACATATGGATAGAATGAAATGCTCAATTGGAAGAATTAAACTACATAAATCATTAAATAAACAAGATCTATATATATATAAATGTCAAAACATGTATTACAACACAAATCCCTCAAAAATACATAAATCAAGATGCAGAAAGCATGCTTAGGGCTAACTCTAGTCCCAAGAGGATGTTTAGCCACTCATGGATGGTGTCCTCCAACCCTCAAGGGCTATCTCCATGGTAGAAATTGCTCCTCTTCTTGGTGGATGGAAGAACTCCCAAGAATGTGTCTCTAGCCTCCTCTCCTCTTTTCTTCCTCACTAAGAATATGAAAAATATCTGTGTAGAGTCTTCCTTGTAAAAGTGACTCATAATCCTTATATAGGTAGGTCAACTGTCACACTCAATGGTCTAGGCTCGTACACCAAGGCTCCTCCAATGATTGGACTATGAGATAACTTTTAATGAGCTGGAAATTGAATTAATTCGCACTTGAGGAAGTTCAATCGATCGAACCATTGTGGTAATCGATCGAATATGGCTGAGATCTATCAAACTTTGGCTGGATCGATCCTTCTTAGCGGCGCCTTTTTGGATAAAGACAAATCTGAGATATTTTCGAGATATTTTGGGAAATATACAAAAGTGGTAGGTGGGGTGGTACAATTGGATAAGATGGAATCTTTTCGATCGATTTGAAAAATGTTGGATCGATTGAACATTGTGGGATCTTTGGATAAGGAAAAAATAGCTTGGATCCATCTTAAAGTGCTGAGATCAATCAAAGTTGGATTGATCGAAGAAATTCCATGATCGATCGAACTTGCTGAATTTCCACCACTTGCTTCATTTTGCTTCCACTTTGCTCATTTCTTTGATTTATCTCAAGACTGCTTCAATTATGCTCTTATTTGGCTGAGTTAGCTTATTTTAGGGATAAGTGCCTGAAAATGGAAATAATACGTAATCAATCTAAACCGAGAAAATAAGATAGATAAAGGTCTTAGAATACTTAAGCTTAACGGGTTTAAATGCACACTTTTCGGCGCTCATCATCTAGCATGATAGGCATACGAAAAATCAACACTTATGCATGCTCTTAACATAAATCAATTAATACACATAGTTACACATCAACATATATACAACAATCAAACAATTAGTTAGATTATATACAAATTTATCATGCTAAGCAACATTTTATGAAAGATTAACTCACAAAAGAACAAGATTGCATGGATTAGGAACCCCTACCTCAAAATTATGCAAAACCCCCAAAATGGGTCAAGATTTTCGAACTCCCTAGGTTGCACAAAATCTGAAATTGCTGGTACTCACGCGTAGAGCTCGCCGTGCACTCCGTTTTGCCGCAAACGACACTAAAAAATTCCAAGTATTGAAGATGGAATCAAGATTTAAAGTTTGAATGAAAAAGAAAAGAAAAAGCAAGGTAAAGGGAATGAGAGAGAGAACCAGCGGGGACAGAGAAAGTGAGGGAGCAAGTGTGGTCTCTAGACCACTAATTGGTAGTGGTGGGTCCCACCACTTTGAAATATCTTTTCCCTTTTTCTCTTATTTTCATTTTACACCACATATATATATACATAAATGCACCACCATACAATTACCACATAAAATAAAATGCATGAAATGCAATGAACCCAACCAAAATCCCCATACGCGACAATATCGGTTGCAGGTCCCACACGGCACCGTCTGGCCCGAAAATGAAAAATGCAAGGATTACAAACCTTGCATTTTTAAGAGCCCCTTACTTAATGGAATGCCCCAACTGACTATTCGACACATCCGGCACACTCCACAGTGTCCGGTACGAAAAATGTGAAATGACGAAAATACCCTTGCAATGACAAAATTCCGGAAATAAGAAAAATGGCGAAAAACTGAAACATCACAATCTCCTCAACTTTAAAAAATTTCGTCCCCGAAATCAAGACATACCTGGGAAAGAGAACAACGCCGGGTACTTGGAGCGAACCTCCTGCTCAAGCTCCTAAGTAGTCTCCTCGACTCCGTGGTGCCTCCAAAGAACTTTCACTAACAGTATCGTTTTGCCCCTTAACACCTTTTGCTGTGTGTCAAGGATTCGCACTGGTCCCTCTTCATAGGAGACATCCTCATTAATGTCCACATCAATTCAATCCAAAACGTGAGAGGGATCTGGTTCATACTTCCGTAGCATCGACACATGAAAAACATTGTGAACCCTGTCCATCTGTGGTGGCAAAACAAGTCTGTAGGCAACCTTTCCTACACGATCCAAAATCTCAAACGGTCCAATGAATCGTGGCGACAACTTGCCACTCTTCCTGAACCTCAATAACCCTTTCTAAGGAGAAACCCGAAGAAAGATGTGGTCTCCTACCTCAAAAGATAGCGGTTGTCTCCGTCTATCCGTATAGCTCTTCTATCGATTCTGAGCTGTAAGCAACCTCTGTCTGATCAACTTAATCTTTTCAGTAGTCTCGAGTACAATGTTGGGTCCTAAGGCGGCTGTTTCGCCGACCTCAATCCAACAGACAGGAGACTTATAAGGTCTACCATACAACGCCTCAAATGGAGCCATCTCAATACTCGCTTAATAACTGTTGTTGTAGGTTAACTCAATGAGTGGTAGGTGATCCTCCCAACTACCTCCAAAATTAAGCACACAAGCCCGAAACATATCCTCCAATATCTGGATAGTACGCCTGGCTGTCAGTCTGAGGATGGAATGCCGTACTAAGGAGCAACGCTGAGCCAAACGCTGCCTGGAGTCCTTCCCAGAACTTCGAAGTGAACTTGGCATCCCTATTAGAAACAATGGTTACAGGGACTCCATGTAACCTTACAATCTCCTTCACATAAAGAACACCAAGTGCCTCTGCATCATCTGTTGCCTTAATAGGCAAAAAGTGAGCCGTCTTGGTCAATCTATCAATGATGACCCATACAGCCTCGTTGCCTCTCCGTGACCTTGGAAGACCTATCACAAAATTCATAGTAATCTGCTCTCATTTCCACTGCGCTACAGGCATTGGCTGCAACAAACCAGTCGGTCTCTGATGCTCTGCCTTCACCTACTAACAGGTAAGACACTTAGCTACAAGCTGTGCAACATCTTTCTTCATCCCGTTCCACCAATACTGACGTCTTAAATTGTGATACATCTTGATACCACCTGGGTGAATTGCAAAGTGGGAAGTGTGAAACTCCCGTAGAACGTCCTCACGACAAACTATGGAAACCACCAACAAACCCTTGAACCGTAGACCTCCATCTGCATGCAAGGTCCAGTCCTTTACTGTCTCACCATTGGAGATCAAGGTGTGAATGGCATCCAAATCTAAATCTTGTCTCTGTGACTCAATCACTCGTCCGACAAGAGTAGGCTGAGCCACAAGACTAAACAAGAATGCCGACTCACTACAAACATCACCATCAAAACATTGCAATCCCATCTCTGCTAGATCCTTAAGTATCTTCCACTTCCGAATGGCCAAACTAGCCAAAGTTCCATGAGATTTCTGTCTTAAGGCATCTGCTGCCATATTTGCCTTGCCCGGATGATACTGCAAGTCGAAATTGTAGTCTTCTAAGAACTCAACCTATCACCTCTGTCTGTTATTCAAGTCCTTTTGGGAGAAAAGGTACTTGAAACTCTTGTGATCCGAGAACACCTCGAATCTCTCACCATACAAGTAATGTCTCCAACATTTCAAAGTAAACACGGTTGCCGCTAACTCTAAATCATGAGTAGGGTAGTTAAGCTCGTGAGTCTTTAATTATCGAAACCCATAAGCCACTACTTTACCATCCTGCATCAATACACATCCCAAACCATCACGTAAAGTGTCACAAAAGATCACATAACCCAAACCACGCTCAGGTATCACCAACACTGGGGCTGTAGTCAATCTTATCTTCAACTCCTAAAAATATGACTCACAGGCTTCATTCCACACAAACTTGATTCCTTTCCGGGTTAAACGGGTCATAGGCGCTACCAAACGGGAAAAATCTTTCACAAATCTCCGATAGTAACCTGCTAGGCCAAGAAAACTGCAGATCTCAAATACATTCTTGGGTTACTCCCTATTCAAAACAGCTTCAAACTTCGATGGATCAACCGATACTCCACCTTCTGAAACAACATGCTCCAAAAACTTCACCTCTTGTAGCCAAAATTCACACCTCTCATATTTGGCATACAATCGGTGTTCCCGCAATATCTGCAATACAATACTCAAATGGATCTCGTGCTCCTCCCGAGTCCGTGAATACACAAGAATATCATCCACGAAAACTACCACAAACTGGTCCAAGTAATCGTGAAAGACGCAGTTCATCAAGTCCATGAATGCCGCTGGCACATTACTCAAGCCAAAAGGCATAACAAGGAGCTCATAGTGCCCATACCGTGTACGGAACGCTGTCTTTGGGATTTCATCATCCCTAACCCGCAACTGATAATAGCAAGACCTCAAGTCAATCTTCGAAAAGCAACTGGCTCCCCTCAACTGATCAAACAAATCATCTATCCTTGGCAAATGATACTTGTTCTTGATGGTGACATGATTCAACTTCTGGTAATCAATGCACAACCTCAAACAACCATCTTTCTTCTTGGCAAACAAGACCGGTGCGCCCCACGGTGACACACTTGGTCGGATAAAACCTTTCATCCTCAAATCATCAAGCTGCCTCTTCAATTCTTCCAATTCAATTGGTGCTATACGATACGGTGCCCTAGAAATCGGCACAGTACCGGGCCTCAAATCAATAGTGAACTCCACTTCTTGATGCGGAGGCAACTCTATCAAATCCTTCGGAAACACATCCAGAAAATCATGAACAACTGCCGGATAAACTTTTTCCACAACATCATCTTCTTCGGCTAAAAGACTAGCCAAGAAGTAATTACCACGACTCCGTCCACGAATTCTATAAAACGATGAAGTGTGGGAATCACTCCGATCTCCCACGAAAAAGAAACAGTCTCCCTCAGGAGTGAAAACTGTAACCCTTCCTCTGTAACAATCAATCGTAGCATGAAATGAAGCTAACCAATCTATCCCAAGAATGACGTCAAAGCTAGTCATCTCTAAGAGGATAAGGTCAAATACAAAAGTCCGCCCAGCTATCACAATGGAATAGTCCCTCATAACTCGGCTCAAGGACACTGAAACCCCAACTGGTGTATCAACACATAACGCCCGATCCATGAAACTAACCTCTAACCCTGATGCAAGTGCAAATGATGATAAAAAGGAATGAGATGCATCAGAGTCAAAGAGAATACGAGCCCAAGAACCAAACACTGGAAAGATACCTCGGAGAATTGATAGACCAGAAGATGCATCAGCCAGTGCAAGTGCAAAGACACCTCCCTGCGGTGCCTGTGCCTGAGAACTGCCAATCTGAACACCAGACTGCTGCACTGACACAGTAGGAGTATCCTTCCTAACTGGTCGTGAACCCTGAGAAGACATGGCAGGCTGTGGTGGTGGCGGTGGTCTGAAACTTGACTGACCTGTAGCCGACTGTGACGGCCTCTGCCGTGACCCTCTGCCACTAGTGGTGCCTGCTCCCTGACTCGGACAGTCTCGAATCAAGTGACCTTACTGGCCACACCCATAACAAGCCCTCGGAGCTGAAGAAACTGAAGACGATCTCATAGGACAACTGGACTTGTAATGTCCAGGCTGCTAACATTGAAAACAAATGACTCCACTCCTATCAGACCCAGCTGGCAAAGGAGTGGTAGGAGCGGATTGTGCAGACTGCTGCCCCTGAAACTGAAACGAACCACCCCTGTTCCTCTTCCCTGAAAAGCCTTCTAAAGATGATCATGCGTTCCTCTTTTGCTTCCACTGTTCCCTTCTTACGTCTTTATCTTTGGCCTCCGCCTCTAGCATTAATGTCCTTTCCACTGCTTCCAGGTAAACTTTGAGGTACTGTGCCATTATCAACGGCCTCATTCGGTCATGAAGACCGGAAACAAACTTCTTAGTCTTCTCAACCTCATTGCTCACTATCTCTGGAGCAAAGCGAAAAAGAAAGGTGAACTTGTTCTCGTACTCTGTTATCGACATATTGCCTTGGATAAGGCCAACGAACTGGTCTTTGAACTCCCATCTCTTGGTGATCGAAAAATATTTCTCGTAGAACAACTCCTTGAACATATCCCAACTCATCTCTTCAACCTTATACTGATTTGTAACCGACTTCCACCAAAGCTTGGCATCCTTAGAAAACTTGTAGGTGGCTAGCATGATTTTCAAGTGATCATCCGTCACATCCATAGAGATTAATTGAGTTTCCACTTGATCCATGTAGTCATCTGCTACCATTGGATCCGCACCACCCTCAAACATCACTGGCATCAACTGAGAAAACCCTTTAATAATCTTGAGACGGTTCTGTGCTGGTGTTTCCTCAACCTGAACTACCGGTTGTGGTACCGGCTACGGTATCGAATGCGGATGAGAAACAATTGTGGCCATCAAGGCCTTCTGTGATGACCCTGGATTTTTCAATCCAGTGTGTCCTGTGATGACCTGAAGCGGATCCAAAATGCGGAAGCAAAAGATAAAATAAAGGTCTCTAGAGATTCAACACGTCTCTAGGACACCAATGTGATCCTCAATGAGGTCACGAAACCCAAGAAATACAAATGCGGAAGCGATGTTTCAAAAACGGACAAGAATGAACCTAGGGGGAAAATGGTCATTTCATAAAGAAATGGATGCTACCGAGCCTACCATTGGAAAGAAAACGAAAAATGAACAAAGTTAGACTCAAGAATCGCCTGATTTTGAGTCCGGACGGAAAAGATATGAAATTAAAACCAAGTAGCCTTCTCCGCTTAAGAGTTACCACGAACCTATCTTACAAAAGCTGGAATAACTCTCATTACAGATGGAGTTTTGATGAATGGTTGACACCATTGGAAAGCTAACAAAAAAAATAATCAAGATGGACTCAAGAATCACTTGATTCGGAGTCCGGACGAAGAAGATATCAAGTCTTGAAGTCAAGGAAAGAAAAACCCCCTTCCGGTTCAGACCAAATCCTAACACTACCTCCTTGAATAACTTGAGTTACAATTGGAATCTGAAGCTCTAATTAGTACAATTGGAAAGCTTATTTCGACACGGTCAGTTTAGACTCAAGAACGGACCAATTTGGAGTTAAAACGAGTGAGATATGGCCCTCTGAAGGAAGGTGACTGGAGCAGGAATAGATCACCGCGGGCGCCCGCCCAAAAGCTGCGGGGGCCCGCCAAATGTGGTAGAACCCCACGGGCGCTCGCTAGAATGCTGCGGGGGCCCGCCAAATGCAGCAATGGCGCGGACTAGTACCTTCAAAATGCGGAAATAAGGCAAGGAAACCAAGTATCATGAACCTAGACAACATGAATGATTATTTTCAAATGTTTGGAACATGCTTAAGGGTGATTTTTTTTAATCAATCAAGGAAAATAAACAAAAGATGGCCTTAAGGCCTCATGGCATGTCATTACAAATGATGTTCAATCCTTGAAATTCCATATATTCCATAGACAAACTATTAAGTTAAACCAACATACATGTCATATACATAGCAAAGAGTATACTCATGTACACATTACATGTTTGGAATCAAATATACACATTTTGAAAACTAAGGCTACAAGTGGCATTTCAAGCCAACCTGTACAAAAATTAAAGCCTTCGAGTCCACAATCATCCAAGCAATGATGATCATCACGAACCAAGTCTTCGTACCTGAATAAAACCCCCAGTAACTTCGGGGTGAATAAACAAGTTTACTCGTAGAGAATGAGCATGCATCGACTCGATTTCTTTAAAGATTTTTACAATAACTTGAAACAATTCAAAAGGGGTCTCATGCCACCTAACGTTTATGTCAAATGTTAAACTCATGGAGCATCCTAAGCTACTTTAGAACATTTCTAACATAAATCACATCATGTACAAAATTTCAAACGACATAAGAAGCATGTCAAACAAGGCTACAAGACGTAGATTCTCAAAGTCCTCAACTTGAAATCTAAAACACGAAAACAACTTAAGTGGATCATGCCACCTAACGTCTATGTTCCAGATGAATCTATAGGTTCATTCCTAAGCTACATTTGAACCTTTAAAACACAAATCACCATATCGATGCAACTTAACCAACATTGGAACTTCCAATACAACGCATAAAGCACAAATTCTCAAGTTAACATTTTGAAACTTAAAATAGGAAATCAAATAAGGAACAACAAGTTACAACGTCATATAGCTATCAACTTGAAATTAAATGCGAAATCAAATAAAGTGGATACTTGGACGTCACACCGGATCAGACCGACAACATAGTTACTTTAGGGTTACTAGTCCACGGGTTACCGCCTTATGTGCGCACTAGACTGTAGAGGGACAATCCCCCGTACTAGAACCAAGCCCTAGCCGTAGTCAAACAACGACATCCCCAAGTTTCCAAAATCAACAAGTTATGCAACAACGTATATATATATCATGTATATACAAGATAATCAACTATCCACCATGCACAACCGAATTTGGAAACATAATACATGCTCTAGTTCACAACTACAATGGCATGCTAATTGTTGAATAATCATTATGCAACTTATCATACTTCATAACAATATTATTCGATAATAGGGACATAACCTCACAAGTATTACATAAGTTTAAAATCAAGACTTAGACATGTAATCAACATGAAATTCATACTCAACTCATTAACACAACAAGGATAGAAATTAATTTAATAAAACTAATTTCTCTAGATTTCATTTCTCATCTAAACATGCTTAATTTAATATATGTTGTAGTACCTATCATGATCATAACATAAATCACTTCAAAACTTGATTTAAATCATAAGAACATAATAATGAAAATTAGCTAATTTAATTAACTAATTCCATCTAGATTTCAAATCAATATCTAATAATCTCAGATTTTTATATGTTAAACAACATATCATGCTCATTACATATATCAAATCAAAAGAGCAAAATGAGCAAGATATCATCATATAGAATTTAATTAATTTAAATTAATTAAATCTCAAATTTTTAAAAGTTGTTCAAATCATCCCTAATAAATATATATCAAGGACTAAGTCATGGCAATGCCATATATCAAGTCAAAATTGGAATACAAGCAAGGTATAATTAAGTAGAATTTAAACCAAATTAAATTCATCTAATCTTTAGATTTGAAAACTCATTTAAATCATCCCAAATTAATATATATCAAAGATCAAGTTATGGCCATGCCATAAACCAAGTCTAAAATGAGTTATAAGCAACTATGATACATCATTTATTTCTCAAATTGACGAAAGAACATGCTTACAACTTATATATTCATACAAAAGCAAATAAAACCACTTAGAAAATAAATTATAACTCCCCCTACCTCACTAGAGAAGTGTCTCTCTAGAATCCAAGGCAAATCAACACAAAATGGTAAACCCTTCAAGGGTTATAAAGAGGAGGATGAGGGGAACAAAAAGTATTCCAAGCTTTATGGTCTAAGGTAAGTGGAAGGGTCTCAAAGATCAAGGTCAAGGCCTAAGGCTTCAAGCTCCACCCATGGAGGTTAGGGTTTTTTTGTAAGGAAGATAATGAAATAATGTGGTTAAGTGTGAGTGGAGGAAATAGAAATCCTCCACTCACTATGTGCTCTTACACCATGGTCAACACACATATCTACGGTCAATTGCACAAAAACCCTTCTTTAAAACCATAATCCCAAAGTGGCCCAAAAATAATTGCAAGACTTAATTTGGAGTGTACACTTGTCACTCATCCAAGCATCCATTGTAGGCTTCATCCTAAGCCTACACTTGTCAACCATCCAAGCCAACAAGTGGTCCAATCCTAGGCCAACAAGTGGTTCAATCTCCACCCTCCACATGTCATCATCCAAGGCATCAAAGTGTTTCCACACAAATGTCAAAAAGTGGACCAATGAGAGTGTGACACTTGTCACACTTTCCGAAAATTACAAAAAGGTCTTTTTTCAAAATATCTTCCAAATTAAATTGCAAAATGGTCCCTAAGACGAAAAATAATTACTTTATTTAATTACACAAAAACCCCAAAAGTTTAGAATATTACAAAAAAGTTATGCATCTATACCATTTATAAGAAAAGTAAACACTTAGTATGCTTTTCTACAAAAATGAAAATACACATAGTATAGAATTTAAATATCGTGGATGCATGTAAAACCGGAATCAAATCCGAACACGAAAAGTGAGGTTATGCCAATAAAGTGACAACCGAGAAAAAGACGAAAGGTGAATAGTGTCACAAAAGTGAAAATGTGAAAATGACTCGGTCCTCAAAGGAAGTCGTCAATCCAGGGAAAAGAGTCTCGGAAACCATCTCCGAGTATTCAAGATGACACTAAATGACAAGAAACTGAACTCGGAAAGGAAAAGATCAACGGAAAAAAAATATCCGTGAAAATCTGAGAAAAAGAAAAGGAAGGAAAATGATCGGGTCATTACACCTTCTACAACAAGCGATTCAATGCAAGTTCCGCCGAGCTTTCACCCTCTTCAACGGGTGTTTTAACATTATTCCTCCTTGTAGGAACAACCCTTGGGGCAATCAAATCCCTAAAAAGTGTATCCTCATCAACTGGCTCAGCCGGAGTGGAGCTAGAGCTCTTGCCAACATCACCCCTTGTTAGCCTATGGCCAACTTCCTTGGGTTCCTCACGCCGTGACATCGTGCTATAAAACGAGAAAACAATTTAATGAAATGATACCAAGGTCCACCGTGGACGACTCAACATAAAATGATGCCGTACAAATACTTAGCATGCAAAACCATGCAAGAAACACTTTAGCATAAACATGTAAGCATGTAAACACATAGACAGTTAAGCATGCTTATTTAAGTAATAAAACACGTAGCAAGTAGTCACGTAAACAATGCAAACAGCATCCTATGTAATGCTCTAATACCATTTTGTCGCACCCCGAATTTTCTAATAAAATGCTCTGATACCATTTTGTCGCGCCTCGAATTTTCAAATAAAATGCTCTGATACCAAACCTGTAATGACCCGGACCCGGAGGACTGAACCGTTAGCCGAGTCCTTACTCGAACCCGAGGTCACCTAGGTCAAACTTGGCATTTTTAACGTCAAACTTGTCATTTTTAGCGTCAAAACATCACCTTTATGATCATCACTAGGCTTTCACAAAGGCTCAAAACAAATCTCAAAGGTCGAGAATAGGATACCCTGAAGAAAAGAGCAAAATGAACAAAACAGGTGCACTTCGATCGACCGAAGTGGAGCTTCGGTCGGCCGAAGCAAACCCTCCCGAACCGGTT